TTTTTTTTGCTAGAAAGTTCAAAATCTGTAATTTCATGTTGTGCTTCTCTCTTTCTCCCTGCAAGCAATCCATTTCTCTCCACATACTCAAATTTCTTACACAACAATAGGAAGACTTTGATCAATTACAAATTGCAGACATTCTGTAAATGAGTATTAGACACAGAAGAAATTAAATTGAGATTTAAACAGTACACAGATAGAGATAATTGAATTCTTTACAATTGCTTCCAACCCAGCAACAATACATCCACAGTTGTTGCAGAAAACTGTTTCAATAAACAGGAATTCACATTATGAAGTCTTAACAAAATATTAAAAAAACTGCACATTAAAACTAAATTTTATAAAATGGGATCTGCCACGTGGCTCTTTCTCCCATCATTGGATCTGCCACGTGGCGCTGAGAACTCTCTGCCCAATGTAAAAATTGTTATTTTTAATGTATGTTTTTTTAATATTAATTTAAAAAAAAAATTATGTCCCTACAAACATCTAGATTAATGAATACATTAAACGGCTACACTGATCAATCTGCATAAATCAATATCAATATCCTCTCCATAGGGATTCCTCCTGCTCCTGCCCCTGCTGCTTCTGCACAAATTCAGCAAATTTTAACTCCTGAGATCCAACAAAAGCATCCCCATTCCCCTCAAACGCACCCATACTTGATCCAGCATTGAATGATTCATTTGTTTGGCATCTACCATATAACAAGTTCATATATAGCTTCAAATCCATCTTATTTTCATCATCTACTTGCAATAATGGATTAAAATGACTTGAAGAATCACGAATATTATTCAAGATGGATGCATCAATATCTCCAAACTGGTCACTCAGTGTGTTTCCGGGAGATTCCAGCAACATGGAAGGAAAGCTTGAACCAGGCTTCTTCATATGAAAGTTGTCGCTTTTCTTGAAGATTTTGCACACAACCCATTCTTCCTGTATTTGTCATAATAGAAAAAATCAAATTTTGGCTAGTTAAAAAATCAAATTTTGGCTAGTTATATTAACTAGAAAGATAGCTGAGAAGAATAAGTACCTTGGATGGTTTGTAAGGGAAATCGGTCTGTAGTCTGTATTCATGCATAACCCAGCTGGTCTTCTCGCCCTTGGGAGCTCTGCCCTTGTAAAAAACTAGTGTTTTCTTCATTCCGACAAGAACTCCATAGTGGAAGATCTCCTTGTCTTTGCCCGTTGTCTTCCAGTAGCCAGCATTGGTGGCTCGGTTGGTTCGCATACCCGTAGGGTATTTTCTATCTTTCAAGCTGAAGAAGTAGCCTACTTTCTCCCCCAAGCTGGCCTTCCCTGAAACTATCAATCAAGGTTGAATATATAAGAGCTCCTTTGGTTACCTTTAAATTCTATGTCTATATCTATATATATATATATATATATATATAGTATATTATGAAAATATTATTTATTTATAAATCCAGTTTTTATGTAAATTTTAGAATGCACTCGAAACACTATTATTTATAAAAATAGCATTCTTTTTCATTTATTTTTTAAATTCTCACTCAATTATTAAAATTTATTTGCCATTAAAACTTTTTTTTTTCTTTTTGTTAATTCTCAACCATTTGTTCATGACATGAGGTACATATGTGTTTAGATGTACCAAGCTCAAATTATTTGGAATTTAACAAAAAATAAAATTCCTTTGATAGGAATTTAAAAAATTAAAGAAGAGGAAAATATTAGTTGTGTAAGTGGTTAATATTTGAACGTCATTATTGAGAAAAATATTTGCGCACGGAGTACGTAAACAGAACTGTATGCGTATAGAGGTTATTCGAGAGGTATTAGATGGTTATGTCAAAGTTATTGGGGTTAATACCCCCAATAATCTACTAAACTTCCGAATAACAACAAAAATAGGAGCACGTAGCAAAATTTATTGATAATTTATTAGGGACTCCAATAACCTCTCAATAACCTCCAATAACTGGTTATTGGATGATTATTTGGGGGAGTGCGCACCCATACTTAAGGGCCACAAGAATAGTATTTACTGAATAACAAGCAGTACTGCAATCGCAGTGGCTTTAATTGTATTAAATAAAAAGAAGTATTTACTGAACAAAAAAGAAGAATTTTGATGTGCCATATCAGAACTTGGATTTACTTAACAAAAAAAGCAACAAATGGGAATAAATGCCTCTTACCTGGGAGGTCCCATGGCTCGCATTTGTTGAGATCAACGTCAGAAATGGCCTTGGAGACGAACTCAAAATCTGAGACCTTGCGGGTAAGATAATAAGTGATCAGCTCCTCGTCGGAGGGGTGGAAACGAAAGCCCGGAGGAAGTCCCTCTTCCATTTCGCTAATCTATCAATAAATATAAGATATTTAGAGGAATTAAATGAAGCTGGCTGAGTGGCAGACGCCTATTTATTTCAAAAAGGAAGAAGCTTTCTCCAGGTGGTTTGCATGGCAAAGGTGAGGAAACAGAGCTGGTTTTTGAGTTTATTACAGAAAAACCTGCAGCAGTATTCAGTAACATTGAGGCCACATGAGGTTAGATTAACAACTCATGTTCGGCTCGTTAAGAAGCTCGTGTTCGGCTCAATAGCTGAGTTAACGAGCCGAACACGAACAACAAAAATAAATATTTGTTC